TAAAATTTATGTTTTACACGCTTGGGGTACGAGGTTCCAACCCGCATATGGCAATGAATTTTTTGCATTTTTTCTTAATTCTTTTTAAGTTAGTATAAATTTTAACTCGTTTGATTTTTATCACATTTAGATTCAATAACTTCAATAAAGATCAAGGATCCCATCACTTTAGTCGCCCCTTGCAAGAAGAAATTTCTTATTCGTATTAAAATTATTTTACTATATTTTAAGTTTTCGCTTCGATGCAAAGCCGAGAAGATATTTTTTTGTGACTATCATTTATTTTCTCTGCTCTAACTTGACCTACTTTTTTCAACAATACGTCAAATTACTACAATTCGTATCTAGTTGAAGATATTACTCTCAAAAATTGAAAAAAAAATTCTAATTTATCAATTAAACAGTTAGTTATTACATCGTCTCCATAAAGACAATTAAAATCATTAATTTCTAATGTTTTCAAAATATTTATTAACGAATGAAGTTTGATATGATAGGTTTCAACTACAAAATTAAATCATTTTACTTTGTAATTTAATAATTTTTTTACTCTATTTGTGTGTGCTACTACTAGACTATAATATTACAATTTTTTTTTGTAACATGTTGCTATATAAATCATTTCTAAAAAAAATGATTGTTTTTTCTCCTGAATTAACAATTGATTTTTACAAATATAATCAAATTTTATAATACACTCAATTGAGTAAATCTTTTTAACAACTTTGTTTTGATTGGTACATTTAGTTAAAGTAAATCATTAAAATTAATTAAGTTCTCAATATTTCAATTATAGAATCTTTTCAACAAACAACAAAAGTTCCTAGGAAATTATTACTATTACTTCTATTTAAGTTATCTATTACCATAAAAATGCAAAAAAATATTGAGCTTTTCTGATAAATTTACAATAAATAGTAATTATAAAACTTTCTGACTGCATATTGATCTTAACGATACAATTTTTTTAATTGTCATAAAATTTTCTATTTAATTATGTCAATGTCAAACTTACCAATTGAGCTAAAAGTTATGGTAAAATAAATTTTTTTTTTTTATTATAAACATTTACAACAATCAACTTTAAACGATTAACAAAATAGGTTAAATATGTCATTTTCCTTATTTTTAACTTATTAATAATCAAATTAATATTAAATATTATATCAAATCAGTATTAATTTAAAACAATTTTTTTTGTTCTTAATTATTTTTTTTTATATGTAAAAACTATTTTTTAATAATATTAAAACTTAGAAGTTATAGAAAAAGTCTAATTGCACATTTTAAAACATCGCGAAAAGTTGATTTAGAATAGTATATTTTTGTTTCTGATGGAAGTTCCTTGTAGTCCAGTGTATAAAACTTATAACTTTGTTAATTGTTATAACTTTATCAAAAATGACCAAATCAGTATATTTTTTTTTATTTAGATGCATGTCTTTATCTATCATTTGGTTTTTTTTATAAATCTAACCCTTTACCTGCCCACAAGAGGGATTCAAAATATTAACTTTTTTTTTTTTAGTTAAAGTAAATCATTAAAATTAATTCAGTTCTGGATATTTCAATAGTAGAATCTTTTTAAATATCAAAAATTACTTAGAAATGATTACTATGATTTCTATTTAAGTGTTCTATTACGATAAAAATGCAAAAAATAATGAGTTTTTCTGATAAATTTACAATAAATAATAATTATAAAACTTTCTGACTGCATATTAATCTTAAAAATAACATTGTTTTAATTCTCATAAAATTTTCTATTTAATGATTCATTCTAGTCAACGAAGGAGTAATTTTGCAGAATAGCAGAAAAAATTCCCAACAAACTTTTTTTTTTTTTGTTTTAATTAGGCAATTGGTGGATTATTCCAAAAGCAACATCAACTCTTATTTCTTTAATTATATCATGATTAGTAGTTCTTTGATTTTAAAATATAATATATGAATATATACTAATTATAATTATTAAATTTAGTATGAAATTGATATTTAATATTGTAATTTAAACGGAGAAATTATAAAAATAATAAAGAAGTTATATTTTGCTTTACTTTTACGTGTATAAAAATTTAAAGGGCTTGATACAATAATTTTCAATAAAAACTGTTTGTTACTATAAAAAAATGCACTGGACTACAAGGAACTTTCATCAGAAGCAAAAATATACTTTTCTAAATCAAATTTTCGCGTTGTTTTCAAATCTGCAAGTAGACTATTTCTATCACTTCTAATTTTTTATATTATTACTAATTATATATATAAAATAATAATTAAAAGAAAAAAAAATTTGTTTTCAAATTATTACTGATTTGATTTTTAATATGTTAAAAATAATCAGTCCAAATTTTCAATTTTAACCTATTTTTTTGGTTCTTTAAAGTTGATGAAAAATTTTTGATAAAGATTTATGAAAGTTTATAGTAAAATAAATTGAATATATTACCATAACTTTTAGCTCAATTACAAGTTTAAAATTGACATCTAGGCCTGTCAACAAAGGAAAAATTGCGGAAAAAATTTTGTTTTTTTAAAAGTTGAATTAAAATATGTATAATGACATACTAATAGTCCTCAAGATTGGAATTGAGCTTTTTTTTTAAATCCTCGCAAAAGTTCAAAAATATGAGCTTTCTTAATTTTCTCAAAAAAAAATATTTAACTTACAAAAAAAAGTTTCGCACAAAAGTTGTTTAAAAGACAATTATAAATAAAAATATAATCTTATATTTTTTCATTTAAACAAATATTTTTCGAGTTACATTACATTTAATATGAGTAATAAAATTTATATTCCATTTTTTTCATTTTACGGTTACTTTTTATCATGTTATACTTACATTAGACACAATGTTATAAATGCATATGTGTGTATGTGTGAGTTTATTTATTTATTGTATCATTAAAGTGTAGTGTATATTGAGATACAACCGATAGAGTAGGTAATTGATTTGACGCTATATTATTTAAACCCAACTAAACGCTAAATTGTACATTCCGAAATAACAATCATATTATGTCAATTGCCACCGGAATATCTGGTAATATTTTTCTTTTTCTTTGCCTTAATCCCAACTACTTGGGGTCGGCCACCCTTATCCTAAGCTTCCACTTGACACGATCTCCCACATCTTCTACGCTCACATCAGCTGTCCTCAAATCGCATTCAATAGCATCCCTCCATCTCTTTTTTGGTCTTCCTCTATCTCTTCTTCCTTCAACATTCATTTCTATAACTGTTCTTACAGCTTTCGATTCTTCTTTCCTCATACCATGACTAAACAATCTAAGTCTATTTTCTGTCATCTTATCCACGATTGACGCAACACCTATACTTCCTCTTATATGCTCGTTCCTTATCCTATCTTCTCTAGTCACTCCACTCATCCAACTAAGCATTCTCATCTCTGCTACACTTATTCTCTGCTCTACTTTCTTATCAACCGCCCAACACTATGAACCATACATCATAGCTGGCCTCACAATTTCATACTAAATTTAAAAACTATAATTAGTATTTATTCATATATTATATTTTAAAATCAAAGAACTACTAATCAGGATATAATTAAAGAAATAAGAGTTCATGTTGCTTTTAAAATATTTCACCAATTTCTCTAAAGGAAACACTATCTACAGATTTGCATCGAAGCGTTTCTTATGATAGTGATTTTAATCACTGTCAGATATCATCTATACTTGTCCCATCTATGCCTCGTCCACACCGTGCCTCGACCCCACTGTGCTACCGTTTTTTTTAATAATAATTACAATGAAATTGTTACAAAATTAGACTTCACATATTTTTAACATTGCACTCCATTATTTTTCACAAGTGTTATTCTTTGATATTTTATTTATCAGTAGTTAAACATTATATAATATTAAATAAATGTTATTCCCCTTAAAAATATGTATTTATCACTTGTAAACTAACATTTAATACATTTTTCTTTGTTATTAATAAAGTAACAAAGATGTCTAGTCCATTTAATTTATTTTATGCTGTAACTTGTGTATCATCACTACTATTAGTTAATAAAAATATTTTATTAATTTATTTTAAAATTATATTTAGTCTAGATTTTAATGTGGAAATCTTTATCGCTTCTCAAACGCACAAAATAAATTGTCTTTTATCGTGTACACAGGTTTTTTTAATATTTAAAATAGAAGTGAAAAATTATTCGCTTAAGTATAGACGAATAATAATAGTGTAGTGTTAATAATAATAATAATAATAATAATAATAATAGCTAGTTTAATGACGAATCCTATCATCAGTGACACGTACCCCTATATATTTTAACTAAACTAATGAAATGCTATAATAATAGGCACTAATAAGGAGAGGCAAAAAAGATTTTACGTCCGAAAATTGGAATCGCTCTTCTTTCCCCTCCAAAAAAAAAATTTGAGGGCTCACACCAGTTATATAACTGGGTTTGTTCTAGTTCAAAGCCCCCTTCCTTACCTTTATGTACCTATTTTTTCAAAAGTCGGATACATTTCGAGGACCTTTATTGTAATAATTATTCGTTAATAGACAGTAATAAATTATAACGCTATTTTATTATATTAATTAAAATTTATTAATTAGTGATAAAGGTTATATTTTTCCATCAGATAATATATTGCTACGATACTCATCTAATCCGAAATTTCATAATTTTTTAATCGATTTCTCGAATAATCGATATTCGGATCAAATTTCATTCGGAGCAATCAGTTAATAGTCAAATAATAGGAATTCGGAGTATTCATCGTCGTAGTAAAATCCAAATTGTTGTAACTAAGTATTCGTAGTAATTGTTGTCAGAGTAAATGTATTCGGAGGATTTTTTAACAGTTTCGGAGTATATGAATGTCGGAGCATTATTAGTTCGTGGCAATCTCCGTAACCCGTTTTTATCCCATTACATGTTCTAGCAAATATGATAATATATGTTGACTTATCAGAAACTGATAAGTCTGATCAGTCCCTCCTTTTCAGAGTTCGAATTTAAAAGTTATTCGTATTTAATAATTAATTATTAAGTAACGTTAACATAAGAGTTATTATGTTTATATTAATTCATTATAAATAATTTTTAATTAATTGTATACAAGTTAAGTAACTTTTTATTAAATATTTGCTTATTGTTTTATCGGAGACTTTTTGAGGATTTCATTGTCAGGATAATTGAACTAAATTATCATTAGTTAGTTATTAAAATTAGTATTATACTTTGTTTTAAGTTTTATTTATTGTAAATAATTACAATTCACAGTTTACAGTTTATGAAAGATAATTATTTTATTATTGTTGTTATTTAGGATGATGTTAATGGATGCTAGATATTTATCTTTAGAAACACTCAATGCCAAAGTATGTCCAATACAATTAAAACTAAAACTTCAACAAGCAAAACGAAGGCAAGAAACATTAATTATTCAAAGGCAGTAAGTTATCTTTGATCGTACATTTTAAAAGTCTAAATTAAATAACATTTATTTTTATTTAAAGAGCTTAACTTTTGGTATTGGCAAACCTAATTGGAAATAGTAGTCCAACAAAATGTATATAAATTTTAGTTTTTGTGTTAAATAAAATTTTAATTATTTTTTATTTATATTTACATTGCTTATTAATACCAATATTTCTGTTGGGACAATATATTCTCTATTTATTTAACAGTTGATTATTTTGAGTATATATCCTTCAAAAAAAAGAAAAATGATTTACATTGTGTCATAAATATATTATTAATAGGTTTATAACATGTATGTATGTTTTTTCTCATTGCTAATCAAAGATCCACAATAAAATTAAAAATTTAATTTTAAATTATATTAGCAGAAAAAATTATCTTTACAGATTGTAAATATATGAGAAATCTTTCAATCCCAAAATAATTTGTTAGATATAAAATTATTCTATGTCATAAGATTTTGTCAAAAGAGAGATTAAGATATAATACTGTCAGTTATTTTAGACAAAATATCAGATTTTAATAATTTAAAATATGCATGTAAGACCATTTTATTACTACTTAAAATGCAAAAAAAAAACATTTAAATTGTTATTAGATTATTAGAGTTTTACAGTTCTTAATCGGGGTTAAAATAATACATTTTTAAATTTAGTTAATTTTGGGAATTTCCAGTATTTAGTAAACATAATGATAACATACTTTTAATTTTTAAGTTATAAACAAGTTACTAGTGCCATTTAGGTTTTAATTTGCATTGTAGTATAAAAATTGTTTATCTGTACTTAAAAATTTTATTTAAAAAATGGGTTCTTCAGTTTTAAAATCTGTACTAGAAATAATAAATAATCTTAACTCTGTGGTATTCATGTAAGTGTAATCTACATATTTAACAGATAGCTTTTGTATGTTAAATATAAAGTTTCAGTATACACTCATAACAAAGGTAAAATTTGTCTTCTGTGACAAATTTATAGTTTATAAAATTTAACAAGTGCAACTAGCATTTATTTACGCTAAATTTATTTAACACATTTTGTTTTTTATACTCAATTATTATTCAACTCTAATTTCTTTATTTTCAAGTAAAGATTAAAAAATATATTCAACATTCTTCTTGTTTTAATACTAATATGTTTAATTATAGAATTTTTTTACCCGTGTTAACTAAACATCTTTTAATTAATAGAATTAATCTATTAAATTTATCTTAATAGTACTAAGAAAATGTTGTAAATTGTCTGATAAAAGATATTAATATAAAGCATAATTAGAATAAGAAATTTTTTTAAAATTTTCATTAAACATTTCAATTAAAATAATTAAGTTTGCCTATATTCATTCTATATTAATCCTATTTCCAGAAAACGTGATGATGAAATCACAAAACGAAGAAATATTTGTGGCGATGATAACATGTCTATGGTAAATAAAATATTATGCTGTTGTAATAATGATTTTGTACTTCACTGAAATTAGAATTCAAAATGCATGGGTATATTTACTCACACTGAATTTATTCTTGATGGATAATATTTGTATTTTGTTATTAAAATTAAAAATAAATATTTTATTACTTTAAACTAGACTTGTAGGTCTTTATAAAATTCTTGTATAATCACCAAAACAATTAGTTAAAGAGTTTACTTTTTTAAGATTAAATTTAGATCATATTTTTTCCTTATATTAATAAAAAAAAATTTTGTTCATAACTTGAAAATTATTGTATTAATCATATAGGAGGTTGAAAGTAAAAAACATGAATCATTCACTCCAAACAGTGAAGCATATGAACTTGCAACTTCCATGATGAATTCGGAATGGTTGCTTGAAGTACCTGAAAATATTGATGACTGGATTGCTGTGATGTGTCCAGAAGGGAAGAGATGTTGTGTTATTGCTCAAGATGTAAATTTATTTAAACATTTTATATAAATATAGATAAGTTTAGTTAAATAATCAATATTTAAAATGTAAAAAATTATTAATTTTAAATTAAAATTTTATCTTATCAATAACTCTTAAATAATTCATATAATTTTTCAATAAAATTCGCAAAGTTGTGTGTACTGTAGGCAGAAAATTCTATTACCCTTATAGTAGATTTTATTAGAATTGTAAAACAATTTTTAACGTGATTTTGTAGTCACAGATTTATTGTTAGTTTGGTGCAGATACTCATTAATGATTATTTTTAGTTTTTTTTATTAACAGCAATTGATGTAAAAAATTAATATCATATTATCTAATATAACCATAATATCTCAGTATTTTAAAAATTACAATGGATGGTATTTTTAACTTAAAGACAGTATTTATAAAAAAAAAAATATGATTGAAAAATTAATGAACAAAATAAAAAAAATTACTTATTTTAAATTACTGAATTTGTGCACCAAGCCAACAATATTACATACTCGCATTAAATAGTTATACACAAAAATACTCTATATTGAATATTTGAGTTTAATCATACTTGTATATAGTATTTCATTTTTACTGTTATTCTCTTTATAAATGTTAAATGTTAATTATTTTTGTTGTAGAATAAAACTAAAGCTGTTAACAAAAAGGGTACTTCATTAAATTTCTTTCCGTCATTGTTTCCTTATGGCTGTCACATAACAACTAACTGTCCTTCTCATAGAAAACGGACAGTTTTAGATTGTGTATATAATTTCAAATTAAAGAAATATTACATATTGGATATTATAGAGTGGATGGGAGTTCCTTACACAAATTTTGATGTAAGTAAACTACTTAAAGAAATTTTTTTATTTTAAAATACAATTAAATATTACTACATAATTTATTGTTTTTATAGGCAGAATTTAGATTTTATTTTATTCAAAGTAAATTATCCGAAATACCGGGCATTGATAAAACATCTATGAAAAATGCTTATCCTTTTGAGGTATTTTTATTGATCAACATGAATCAATTATCATTGATTTAATAAATGTGATTATTTTTTAGCTGGCTCCAAGAATGCTTGCACGAGATTTTTATCCTTTATTACTTGAAAAAAATGATTTTTTTTCTGAAAATGTTCAATTAGATGGAATAAATTTTTACTATCCAGAAAGTTTATATACACCTGGCGATACTCCACTAGTATTATGGCTTAAACCATTTATGATCCCTGAAGTACTACAAAAACCAGTTAATGATCAGTTGATATATTTACAAAAACCTCTCAATTATATCAATATATTTGAATACATTCAAAACCCAGAAAAGAAAATTAAAAAAAATCGAAAAAAAAAAAATTCTTTCAATAGTGATAAAATGGATGTTGATAAATTAGTTGAGGTGATAAAATTATTTAAATATAATATTTTATTTTATTTTTGGTCCTTAAAGTAGCATTAGTGATTACAACTATGAATAATTTTTTTTTTTTTTTACTATGAAAATTTTAAATATGGTTTATTATTAGTTTAATTTATAGGTAATAAAATTATTTATATGTCTATATGTTAATACAAATATTTTTTTGCCAAAATTATAACAATAAAAAAAAAAAATGACAATATAATACACTATATAATTTAATTTTCATAAAAAATCTCATTGATTAATATTAAGAGAATTAATAATTAAATGAGAGTGATAACAAGAATGAATACAGAACTCTAAATATGCTTGTTAATCTTGGTTATAGCTAGTTATTTTTCAATTTTGATAATAATATTTTATAAGTTTAAATTATATCTCTTACAATAATATAGTAATCATTTTTAAGGTTGAAGTACAAAATGACGTAACATTTGAAGAAGTGTTAATGGAAAATTAACTGTTCAAAATTTACCAGGGATGTCAAATGATATATATTCGTTAATTAATGGTATAGTATTTAAACTACTTATTTTATTTATCATTTAAAACTCAATTTTTTTTTTTTGTATATTAGTAAACTTAATCGTATAAATAGTGGCTTTATAAATTATAGAAATATACTAATAATACCACTATCTACATTTTTCCAAGTTAAGCAAAAAAACTGAAAATTTCCTTGAATATTTTTTGGCTATTTTTAATTTAAAAACTTTGAATTTGGTTATAATAAATTGAAATATTATACATTTAAATTTTTTGTAAAAATATTATAAGTTATATTATTAAGTTTATTATTAAAGTTATAAGTTTAGTGCAGATATGTCATTTATTATTTTTAGCATCAACTCCATATTTTATTTCATATAATACTTTATATACTTCAAACCGCATTAATCAGTTTTGATAAAGATAATTATTTTAACTACAAACAATATTTGCAAAGACTTAACAGATATTTTAGTATGATATTCTCATTTTTCAATAAGTTGTCAGACACTAGATATTTGTTATTATTGTAGTAATAGCGTTTAATAAAATTATATTAATGTCTATTTCTATACTAACAATTATCTTAACTGCTTCTGTGGCTTGTATACAAAAACTGATAAATCACAAAAATTCAATTTGTGGGTTATTGATGGTATGTGTAAAATGAGTTTTGTCTGTCATCTATAAAAAAAATGATATGCCTATTTTATTATTAGAGTAACTTTTTTTGTACCTCAAAAATGTAAAAATTTCCATAAGATGTCATAGAAATTTATTCTCCTAAAAAATTCTAAAATAGAAATATTGATTTTGAAAAATAGTCACAAAATTGTACTTTCTTAAATTTTCTATAAGTGTTATAAAAGAAAAATACAGACATGGTAGGCAGTTACATTAAACTTTAAATTTTAAGAGGAATCCCTAATAAATATTAGACATTATTTTGTTTGTTAATTACTGTTATTTTAAAAAAATAAAAAATACTATCCATAAATTGCTTAAGACCGTTTTTTTGTATTACAGATAATCAATTTAGAACTGTTTAATAATTTAATAAAATTTTGAAGTACTATTTGTAAGAAAATTTTTACTACCCCTTCCCCACACACAAATTATATCTTTAACTTTCAATAATTAATAAATACAGTTTTAACTTATAAAACTGCTGCCAAATAGTGTTCAGTAGCTGTTAGTGGTTTTATTATAATAGTGTTTCTCTTTGAATTCTACAAATACTAATTTTTAAATATAACATTTCAATACCATTGTTTTTATGAAGCATTATAACTATTATAGTACTTCATAAAACAATATATGTTACACTGGTTCAAACCTTATTTCATAAACAAATGTTTCTACCTGGGATGGATATCTCAATTGTGTGATGTAACTATATTTTTAAGGTCTGCAGGTAAAACTTTTTGTGAAGCCATTGAGGTAAGCTCAGGAGGACAATTTTGTTTTGTAGATTATATTATTCTAATAAGAATGGTAATATTTTGTGTTTAGCAATTTTAATTTAAAACTCTTTAGTTTTATTGTTAATCATAATAGATATTAATTTGGCTTAATACCATTATAATTAATAACATTATGAACTGCTGGAAAGTCAAATATAAAATTTAAAAAATTAATCTGAAATAATTGATCAAACAATGTCTTAAGTTTAACAAAAAACTAGACAACTAAAGCTTTTGCCTAAAAAATTATCAAAAATGTTTGTTTAATGTTCATTAATATATTTGGAAATGAGGTTCATGTTTGACAATAAAATTGAAAGTTCAGGTCAATCTTACAAATTAGAATTTGTGACATCACTACTTTAATTATATTAAATGTATATTTTTTCAATTAAATTAGTATTTTACAATTGTTATTATATACTATAATCTCTTCATACATGATGGTAATTATTTTTCATATATATTTTTTAATTTATTTGTTTCAGTTAAATATATGATAATAGTGCATCATTGAAGACTCCTATTCTTTAAAAATATTATTTCTAACTTAAAATTAATAGTTGTTGATTGACAATATATAATTTTATTTATTTAAACAATAAAGACTAAATAAAAATAAAATAACTTGTTATTAGTTAATATTTTATCAATTATATTAATTATAAATTTATTAATGTAATATAACACTACATTCTTTAATAAATCAATTTTATTATCTTCTAAAGGTCATGTTGAAAACCTTAAAGAAGAGGAAGATACTGTAAAAATAAGAGGAGAGAATGTACAGTTTCAATTTAAATACCTTATTTTTACTATTTTCTAGAAATTTATTTATTTTTATGTAAATTAGTTAAAATTACGTTATACTGTTGTCTTTGTAACAGAACAATTTAAGATTTTTTATTATTATTGTTTTTTTGTAATGCAACACATTTTAAGAATTTTTGAAATAATTAATATATTATTTCTTGAGATTTATAAAGTTACGAACTACCGTTTTATAAAACGGTAACACAGTTGGATCACAGCACAATGTGGACGTAGTATAATTATAATTTTTTTAGATTTTCTTAATTTATAAGGAACGAGGTAATGTTTTTCAAATTTTGTTGTTAATGCCTTCAACTAGATATAATTTATGATTTTTAGACGAATCATTGAATAAAATTGGTCCAGTGTGGGTAGAGAAAAAGTAGTGACAGACACAAAAATAATAAAAAATAACACACCATGATGAAATTAATAACTTCTCAGCTTCACATTGAAAATAAAATGTTTTACATTAATTACAATTTTATTAAAAAATAAATAATGTTTAATATACGTTTCTATTAATAAATTTCATAAAAAGAATTAACTCGTTTATGTCCAGCCTTACTCAGAATATTACTAGGTCATTTAACAAACCCGTAAGTATTTAAATAATAATATAAAAAAAAACGGTAGCACAGTGGGGTCGCGGCATAGTGGAGACATTGCATAGTAGGTTCCCGTATAGATTTAATCTGACAGTGATTAAAATCACTATCATAAGAAACGCTTCGATGCAAATCTGTAGATAGTGTTTAATTTTAAAAAATTGATGGATAATTGCAAAAGCAACATCAACTTCTATTAAAATAAAATACAAAACCCATAATTATCATACAAAAATAGTATATTTTTCAATATGGTAGCCATTTGCGTATAGAAGATAGATTGTCGGGACAAATTTTTTTTTTTCATTTGATAGTATATAACATAACCTTTGATTTGATATATGTTTAAAGGACGCAGTATTTCCGGAACATTTTCAAAAGTTCAGTTGAAAAAGATCTATGTTTTTTACAATATTTTAAGTTTTGAACGCCCCCTATATAAGGGGAAATTGTCCAATTTTAATAAAAAGTATGTCAAATGAAAGATGTACTTATAATGTATTTAGAAAAAAAAAATTTGTGCTGATATATACATTTTTCAAAAAGTTATAGCATTTTTAAGTTGAAAATTTAAAATCGAAAATCGAAAATTTTAACACAAAAATAGTGTTTTTTTAACTACGGCAGCCGTTTAAATGTAGAAAAAAAAGTGTCGGGACAAATTTTTTTTTTTCATTTTGTAGTACATAAAATAAGCTTTAATTTGATATATGTTTAAAGGACGCAGTATTTCCGGAACATTTTCAAAAGTTCAGTTGAAAAAGATCTATGTTTTTTACAATATTTTAAGTTTTGAACGCCCCCTATATAAGGGGAAATTGTCCAATTTTAATAAAAAGTATGTTAAATGAAAGATGTACTTATAATGTATTTAGAAAAAAAAAATTGTGCTGATATATACATTTTTCAATAAGTTATAGCATTTTTAAGTTGAAAATTTAAAATCGAAAATCGAAAATTTTAACACAAAAA